CTTTCCAATTGTTTCTTAACATGTTTATCTTTTTGGGCTGCAGTCAGTGCTGCCCCTAATACAGCACACACTACAGATTTTCCTTTGCCTGGTCGCGACCCTTTTGCCCCTGCAAGCACACTGATATAACTCGCCACTGCTTCTGGATTTTGCCAGTTATCGTGGGCCCAAACCTCTACTAAAGGAGGAGGACAAGCCTTATACTCATTCAGCTTCTCAAAAATAGGGGAGCAGTCAAGCACCGACATTTCCTGGCCAGTCATGGCTTGCAACTGCTCGAACCTCTCCCGGCTTAGAGCTGAGAGGTCACATCCCGATTCTCCCTGTCTTTATCGGATAGAGAATCAGTATCCCTCCGACCCTCTCCCAGCTTAGAGCTGAGGGGCCAATTCCCAGTTCTCCCTGTCCGAGTCTGTCGGACAGAGAATTGTATTTCACCAGACAACAAGCCTCAAAGTTCAAGCCTCCGACCCTCTCCCAGCTTAGAGCTGAGGGGCCAATTCACCAGACTTTCCGATACCAGAGGGGATCCCGCTCCGATGAGGGGGACAAGTGACTCAGATTCGCAAATCCCCAATTGGAGCGGACAACAAGTAAGTCTCCAAGTTCAAGCATTTATTAACTACCTAGAATGCACTAATTGAACACATGATAATTGGCCAAGTACAGAACAAGCTGTGGCAAGCAATATAATATGCTTTGCATTTCTTTCCCAGGCTGTTTGTTTTAGTTTTTCACAGGCCTGGTTTCTCGGCTCTCACATCCCACCCCGTGACTCAAACGCTCCAAGTTTTGACCATTGTGATCTCAAAGGGTATAGGGAAAAAGAAGATAGAACGTAAGAGAGTGTATATCCAACTGCTTCAAGTCATACTATGAAAAGCAAAACTTTGCACAATATCACAATACTAATATCTGCAAGCGATCTTCCCCACCCCATGAGTCCTGAGGATCCCGGTGATGTTACCCATGACCCAGGGTTCCATCCATCAAACCAGTTCATTGGTCGAAAAAGTTCTCTGTTCCTGTTGGAAATCTTTTTCACTGTGGCATGGGTCTCCTCTGTGGAGGTGATGGCAGAGGTGCATTGTGGATGGGGATGCAGCACTCTCCCTCAGTCAGACTCAGCACACCGTACAGTCCATGTTCCTTCAGCAATGCGAGCTGGATTTTGCAACGCCATCCTAGATGCTTGGTGGATCTGCACCTTTCATTCCTTAAAGGTATATCTTGTTAGTACATATAAATGCTAAGTTAAATTTTCTAAAACTATTTGAGGTTACACAATCACATTAGAAGGTCAATAAGGATTTAAATGGGAATACAATGTAATATTCAGCTACAATTTGTTAATGCTTAATTTGTGGGACCAGACCCCTCCAGCTAGTCTTTGATTACTTCATCTTGCTGTTGGTTATATGATATTTGCAAGCACCAGTGTGCAATCACGGGTGACCCATAGGCTTCCTTAATTTTGGAGGTGATTCCCAGTAAGGTAACTTGAGGCACAACTCCAGATTAGCCTTCTAATATGTAGATTCTCCACACTTAGCAGGTATGATTCCACAAATTATATAACAATGTAAGCAGATTACAAATAATAACTAGCCGATATTGCCTATAACTATTGAAAGCACTAAAAGTAACATAGGTCTTTGGTCATCCAGGATCAATATCCTGTAAAACAAATATATGCATAACAAAACAATGATGGTTAGAAAGAAGGGACAATCCCCCTGGTATTGATACGGTATTCTTTGAGAACGAATTACCACCATCTCCTTAGTTCTATCCCTCCCTTTGTCCGAAAGGTCTGCTAGGAAGGCGGGGCGGGGGGGCAGCTTCCTTCTGCCTTTCCAGGCTCGAATGAACTTTTCTAAAACTGCAGTAGTCAGACCATCCATTAACTCCCGGGGAATCCCCTGTTTCATTCCCTCAATCCACAAGAGGTTTCTCTTTGCTCTTAAAACTTGCAGAGGGGAAGGAAACAGATTTTCCTGCTTTTCCATTCTGCGTAAGGAGGGCTTAGGTTTACCCGTTCCCCTGGTAAGGCCCATTCTCCGGCCATAATTTATTAAGTCCTGAGCTATCTCTCCCCAAGTCATGGGCTCTCCCGCTCCCCGTCTCCCCCTCTGTAGGGTTAATGCAATCCGCAAACGATTTTGTAATTGTACTGCATATGATTTCAAAGAGTCCGGCAAGCCACGAATCAGGGGAGTCATTTGATCGGGATTAGCAATTAATAACATTGGGGCAGGCTGCTGCGGAACCAAACGCCTGTCATGCATTAGTTGGAGACAAGCAGCCTTCTGCAGACTTTCAGTCAAATGATTTATGGTTGGGGTCTCAATATATACGGGATCCCCCCTTGCCAAGGGGTCCAGACTCCCAGCCCAATAAGCAGCTCGTTGAGTTAACAACCACGGGTCTCTCTGGTCGTCAGTAACTAAGGAAACCCCTGGCCCCCAGTACCCCTGGGCCTCATCTTCTGATAACAAAATTCGGTCGCCACCAGTCAAAGATACCCTCCACACATATTCAGTTTCAGTTTCCTGAGCTCGTCTGGTGTATTTCTCCTGAATTTTAGCAAGCTCAGTTGCTGGGTACGGTGTAGTTTGAGTGGTGACCTGCGGAGCTCTTCTACCCTGACCCTCGGTGGTCTCCGTTTTAATTAATGGTCTTAAATTTGCCCCCTTGTTTTCGGGGTAATAAATCTCTCGGCTTATCTCTAAATCCTTTGTTGGATGCAAGGGTCTGGCTGCTGATTTTGCCAGACTTGTAACTCCCTGTTCACTATCTGGAACAGAGCCAAGATCTGCCTGGTTGCAGGTTTCTTGTTCATTCCCCTCCTTTTCAGACCGTGAGATTTTTTCTCGGTCCAAGGCATCTAAGAGAGCTGTGCGAAGCTGCTGAGTGGTGTTACGCTCATCAGCTAATTGGCTTTTCAAAACTTCAATTTGATCTTGCCAGAGTTTAGCTTTTTGTTCAGTAACTTTATGTTCCTCAACCAATTGTTCCTGGAGAGCCTTTACCAGATCTTGTAGGGATTCAGTCATTTCCCTTTCCAATTGTTTCTTAACATGTTTATCTTTTTGGGCTGCAGTCAGTGCTGCCCCTAATACAGCACACACTACAGATTTTCCTTTGCCTGGTCGCGACCCTTTTGCCCCTGCAAGCACACTGATATAACTCGCCACTGCTTCTGGATTTTGCCAGTTATCGTGGGCCCAAACCTCTACTAAAGGAGGAGGACAAGCCTTATACTCATTCAGCTTCTCAAAAATAGGGGAGCAGTCAAGCACCGACATTTCCTGGCCAGTCATGGCTTGCAACTGCTCGAACCTCTCCCGGCTTAGAGCTGAGAGGTCACATCCCGATTCTCCCTGTCTTTATCGGATAGAGAATCAGTATCCCTCCGACCCTCTCCCAGCTTAGAGCTGAGGGGCCAATTCCCAGTTCTCCCTGTCCGAGTTTGTCAGACAGAGAAGCACTATTTCACCAGACTTTCCGACACCAAAGGGGATCCCTCAAATCCCCAGTTGGAGCGGACAACAAGTCTCCAAGTTCAAGCCTCCGACCCTCTCCCAGCTTAGAGCTGAGGGGCCAATTCACCAGACTTTCCGATACCAGAGGGGATCCCGCTCCGATGAGGGGGACAAGTGACTCAGATTCGCAAATCCCCAATTGGAGCGG